TTAATTAAAATTTGGTGCATTGTATTTTTTAATCCCCCTTTAATTTTGGGATTAATTAAAAAAAAAAAAAAAAAAAAAAAAAAAAAAAAAAAAAAACTATAATCCACAAGTAGCTTATTTTTCAGTCTTTGATGGTGTAATTGTCATGTGATGACAGATTTCAAAGATCAACTTACCACCTGCAGATGTTATCAAACATGACAAGAACCAGTCCAAGAATGCCGATCAAGTACACAATACAATCCCTGCATAGAGGCCACCAATGCAAGGGCACCTCCTACAAATAACAACAAAGTCAAGTGTCAAATTACACTGATAAGATATCTAACAATAATACGCTTTAGACATTGACCTGCTTATTTAAGTTCATGATCTTCAGCATCAACAGTGTACCGATATGAACCTGATACAATCAGTTGTATGCAAGTCATGTATTTGTACGATCTTCAGTGTTCAGTGACGCTGCTACTACATGCAACTGAACGTAGACTAAAGTACTGTTCAAACATGACTGTTCAGAGTGTTCAAATCCAATGTGTTGTATACCACATATACACTGTAAAATGACTAAATTTGACTGGGTTAAAATTTCACCGATTCACCATTTCAGGCATATTTAGTGGGTTTTAAATTCATGGTTTTATCATTTAGATAATGTGTTCTATGCTAAATATTACATATTCACTTGGTTTTACTTGGGCGCATTTTCCAGTCAGCAAAATAAGCAACATTAAAACCCAGTTAATAATTAACCCCTTTACAGTATACAACACTGTTGAAACTTATGAAATTCATCCTTTTTTATTATTCTTGTATTTGATGATAATTTTATTATTTCTAGTGCAAATCTACTTCAACAAATGACTCTAGAGTTACTTACCCTCCCAGCGAAGAAACAGCAACATGCTATTATCATAAAAAGGTTAAATACCAGGGAGCCAACCACAGTGCCTAAACCAATGTCAGTATCAGTAATAAACACACCTGCAAAAAAATAAATAGATTTCCGGTATATGTATCGGTAGTTGGACATACGATACATGCATTATCAAAAATATCGAACATTGTATAAAATACTACGTTCTAAAATGAGCAAAGAAGGTTTAACACCCAGTTTTGTTATAGATTCTGAATACTCTGTAAAACATTGCCCAGGCACCTTGCCCGTGATTTCTAGTGAACTACAAAAGAAAGTAAGAGCTTATGAAAGGATCATAAAACTGAAGCTGTAACTGAAATGTGATCACTGTAGAATAAATCACAGGCAGGACCAGTCATCCATTCTGAATTTGATTTTCATAACAAATTGGAATGCATCAAATTCCCACAATGTTTAATGTATCTACCATGCCTGAACAAAATCCATGCATATAGAACCGAGATCTGGTTCCAGAATGGGATCTGGTTCCAGAATGAGATCTGGTTCCAGAATGAGATTTGGTTCCAGAATGGCATAAATGATAAAATGACATTATTCAGTTGCAGACTACTGCTGTTCAAGTCAAGGAGGCACATTTTCACCAAAATTAAACACTGAGAATATATATTGACTGATAATATACTTCTGAGTTTGAGACAGAAATTACTTGATTTATGGCAACTGCAAGACAGCGTTAACAATAACAACAACAGACAAGATAACCCCTATATGTCGCCACTACATTATTATTACAGGAGGGTTTATTGATAAATTGGATGACTGGCAAATTACACACGTTTTGAAGGTAGCATAGCATCATGATGCTCACAAAACGTAAAATACCCAAGTATTCACTTACCTATTACTGAAGTGGCAAACTCCGGTGCTGATGTCCCAAGAGCCATCAGTGTTGCCCCGGCAACATCATGTTGGAGACCCACCACTGGAAATAAACACAAACGAATAATAAAACCACCATTTCGTAAAAACTGAATTGTAAAGAATAGGTCACTTTAATATCCAGTATATCAACACTGAAAAAAGGTATTAAACTAATAGTTGCACTCAGTCCCAAAGAAAACAAGAAATATATGATGCGCAAATATATCCCGACTCATACTGGATTGACTCAATATCCCTTAACTAACACTGGATTGATTCAATATCCCCTAACTCACCCTGGATTGATTCAATATCCCCTAACTCACCCTGGATTGATTCAATATCCCTAACTCACCCAGGATTGACTCAATATCCCCTAACTCACACTGGATTGATTCAATATCCCCTAACTCACCCTGGATTGATTCAATATCTCCTAACTCACCCAGGATTGACTCAATATCTCCCAACTCACCCAGGATTGACTCAATATCTCCCAACTCACCCAGGATTGACTCAATATCTCCCAACTCACCCAGGATTGACTCAATATCCCCTAACTCACCCAGGATTGACTCAATATCCCCTAACTCACACTGGAATGACTCAATATCCCCTAACTCACACTGGATTGATTCAATATCCCCTAACTCACCCAGGATTGACTCAATATCCCCTAACTCACACTGGATTGACTCAATATCCCCTAACTCACACTGGATTGATTCAATATCCCCTAACTCACCTGGATTGATTCAATATCCCCTAACTCACACCGGATTGACTCAATATCTCTTAACTTAACTCTTAACTTAACTTAACTTAACTCTTAACACTGGGTTGACTGAACTTTCCTGTATTTTAAGTGACTGTCAATGGGCCAGTCAGATCCATCCATTCTCTCATAATTAATACAACATCTTAAAATCATACTTACATTTGCATAAAATTTCTAGCGACGGTACAAAGTAAACTTCACATACATATGCAAGTGATACAAACATATAGCATGCGATGAATATATGAACGACAATCCCGCCTTTGTTCCTCTGTTCGTCACTCATAAAATCAGCAGGAAATTCATCAACAGAACGTGGGGTACAATTTGGTCTAACTCGTAACAAATGTCGTCCATACGAAGTGTATTCGTCTACTTCTGTGAAAACAAAAGTTCAGGAATTAGTATACTGTGGAATACTTCATTTTCGCTGGAATTAATTTTCACAGAAAGGGCTTTTACAGTATTTTACAGTATCTTTCATCTCAATTTATTCTAATTTTACTTTTCTCATATCGATGTATCAGAACTTTTTTTTTTTTTTGACTGGCTCTTGAAAAGTCATGGATAGGTCACATGACTTCCAAATTCTATGCCTTATTTCTACTCAAGACAGTGTATCGAATAATTTCAACATGTCACTTTTTTATGCATGTATATGATACTGTTACTGTGGTTCTTAAGAAAAGAATGGCCATAAATTATCAAATCACATTTCCAACAGTGAATATTTAAAATTTACAGTATTTAAATATTAATTTTCATTATTTAGTAATAGCACATTAATATGAATATATCACTGAAAATATTTCAAGAGCAGAACTTAAAAACAACACATTTTAGTCTAATACCGTATCGGTGAGTATACACCTGGAATCAGTTCTAACATTTGAACTTTTGACTCCTCACTAAGCGGTGACTGGTGCGCTTTTATGACAGTCAGAAAAACTGGACCGTAAGATAGCGATGACATCGATGTTACCATTGAGTAACACGATAGAATAAAGTACTTGATGAATGATATGATGTCAAAGTTCATAGTTTTATAAGTCAGGGATACTATTAAATTATGGTCTGCGTGCAGGACAGTGCGTGATATTTGGAAATTAGATACTGTATTCGTAGTTTTTTTTTTCCCAATGCAGTGATGAAAAATATGCGATACGTCTATAAAATACTTGTCATTTACACCATGGCAACTATCACTAAGGAATAATACTTGTGAAATAGTTAATATATTCGCTCAAAGAAATAATTATGGCAATGTTGAATACATGTGCCCTTAATACCATAAAGTGTTCAAACTCAATACTGTATTTATTTGTTATGAGAAGAGCATACCATTTCTACAGCATAGGCGAGCTAAACAAATGTTTCGGTGTTAATTTTAGACACTGCACGTCAAATCCCAGACATTTCCGTTCAAGGGAGTAATCACTCGCGCTAAAAACAACTGGCCTGAAAAAAAAATTTATTCAAACACATGCAAAATCAATTCTTAGGAGTTATTTTTCTACTCTCCAGTCATTTTCAGAAGCAAAGGCCTGAAAGTCATACTGATCCATCCATGGTAATTTGTCAACTGTTTTTATAACACAGGCCATTTACTTACGTACAGTTTCAAACAGAAAAATGTATGGTAATTTGAAAGTTCGTAGTCTAGATCTATTTGCAGTACACATGTATTTAACTACACACAAGACTGTGTAAATAAATAACTTTAATTTTTAATAACAAAAAATTATATTTGTCTTTTTCTATAACTTATCATATAGCTCCATGCCACCAGGGTCAATTTTATTAGTTTATTTTGTGTTCATCTTATCAATTTACAACTCTTGACTTTATCATGTATAACCAGTTCATCATCCACTGTGGTATAACCATAATGAGAGCTGATTTAGAATCTGGTTACAAAGTAACTACCAGTAAGTGCAATTTTACTACAATTCACCAGTAAACAATTCACAGACTGAAAAAACATTTGAATACAAGTAGAACAGATTTTAAACACTTACAAACTGATAGTAAAATTAGTTAAACAAAAATACATGATTCTGTACATTTGGGAAGAAGATAGGACTTGCAAATCTCAAGTAGTCTGATTCAAGAATTTAACAGTTTCAGTTCCAAAAACATTTTCCCGCCAAAATTTTAGCACAACATTTTCTTCATTTATTATAATTTCTTTGTTAATTTTGGACTATCTTTTTTCAGATTCATTTTAGTATGTCAGTCGAGGCTTTTAGCAGACGATACGATAATTGCCATCTAGGTCTCGAAATGCTTTTGATAATGTGCCTGGCATACATTGAGTTAATTCCACTATGTTTCATTGATAATTTAAAGTGATTTATACCAGGTTATAACACAATCATGTAATAAGTGGAACCACAAACCATTTCTATGGTAACAAATTCTAATGGCAATTTTTTTTTTTATATCGGGGCATGGGAAAGGAAGAAATAATTAGTAACAAAAAGGCTTCACTATTAATGGAGTCTAATTTGTTTAAAAAATAGGATCTTAGTTCGGTAACCATGGAGTTGTTTTCATTCACTGTACGTTATATTAATTATTATTGAATTTTTTTTTCATGTGGCAATAGTTAAAATAAAATATACATATAGTGTAAATAAGAGAAAAAAAATGTACACCGTACAATACAAAATATTTTAATCAGATTGTATCCAAACTTGATTTAAATCCACAAAATTCAATGCAACATAGTTGTTGCCGTGACAATGCATTTCAAATTTTATGTGTACAAACAATTTATTTCACACGTGTTTGCACGAGATGTGATGTATAAATTTTTCTCTTTAAATTATGAAATGAAAACATTCATGAATATAAAGATATCAAATTTCAAATTTTTAATAACTGTACAAATGGATTTGTCTAAACTTTTTAAAAGCTATGATATGATAATGATTAATCTTGCTAGAGAGAGGGACATCAATTAGGACAGGGAATTTTATTTACCAACCACTCCTATTTCATTTATAATTCCTCTCTAATTTTTGGAGAACTATTAGAAGTTGTATCCTATCCACTATATATCAAGATGTTTATGATAAACTACTTGGACATTTATTAGTTATTTTATTTATTATTTTAAGCTGGAATAGTAAAATAATTACCTAAGACATTATTCTTGGAACTGAAACTACCTAATTTGATCGCAAGACTTGTGTTGTCATGGTAATGCCAAGCAATCGGACATCCCAAAAGTATTGCTACTAATTTGGGGTTTGACACTGCCCGGAATCATTAAGAACAAGTGTTGGCAACGTACCACGCCGAATAGAATAGAAACATCAATAAAAAAAATTCAAAAAAAAACACCTAAAACCAGGGACTGAAATAAAATTGATATTTGAATGACGTGGCGAGGTATGACTGGGCACATGGTACAATACAGAGAGAAACTATCCAATTATCTCTATTTAAATTTCTGAATACTGTAAAAAAAACTAGAAGTATAATACATTCATTCAGCAAAGACCTGACTACAGTTTGTCTGAAAAAGTTGGCATCGATCCAAGGAATTTCCCTCTAAATGTAGGGCATGAAGAAACACCGTCTGGGGAACAAATTAAACAATCACCTTAAAAGCATTTTCATCGGCAAGGATAATATACAATTTAAACTGGTAACCATGGTAACAGATCAACTTCGCTTTGGCAAGTTTTTCTATATATAAATTCAATTCAAGATTTTTTTTTTAAATAAAGGCTGACAATCAATTTGTAACTGTAGAACTTGTTTTTTTAGCTAGCTTGTCATTTTAGCCAGTCTGTAATTTCGTTAATTTAAGATTTAGCTAATTAAAATTTGTATTTACTTTAGCTGATTAAGATTTTGTTTATTCATGAATTTAGTCAATTTTCTGAAAGGGCATGTAGCTACTACAATTTGATGTATGCAAATTAGCAGTATGCAAATTAGCAGTATGCAAATTAGCAGTAAGTGTTCTGCATCTTCAGTAAATAACTCCCCAATGAGAACCAGCAATTATGTAAGAGCCATTTTCTGTTTTTGTTTTGTTTTTTTAATTAAAAATAAACTATTATTCTAAATCACATATCAGCTACAACTTTAACCGAATGGGAAAACTGAACAGAACATATTCATGGATCCTCAGGACTGAGAATAGCCTGTCAGAAAATGTGAAGGAATTTGTGCAATAACTGTGGGGGGGGAACAGGCTAGCACTGAGAACAAAAGAAAGGTGTTATTAATCTGCAATAAGCATTGTCCTTTCTTCTTCATGACAAATACTGGCCATGTGCAGCAGAATGTGATGTAGCCAAGTCCTTGAGAATTTACCCTACACAGGTTATCAGGTCATTAAACTTGTCTGACCTTGTTGGACTGCAGCAACAAAACCCATGACAGCAAGATAAAGCCTGTTTGAACTACATTTGCATATGAATAACTATATTTGCATATGAATAGATAACAATAGGAGCTTTCTGGGTTGTCTAGCTTTTGTGTGTGTCATTGGGCTTCTCAGTGCAGTAAGTCCTGCCTGTTCATCAGAAATAGAGATCCTTCAGAAACATGATGAATGTTTTATCACTAAACATGTGAAACATTTGGGTTTACATAAAAAAAAAACAGTTTTTCAAGCATATACTAGAATGCAAGGTATATGGAATTTCAATGAAATTGCTGCAACAAGAATACAATACACATTCATGAAATCACATAATGGAATTGGTCAACTTGTTATCAATGCTGGTGGGGTTTGTACAGAAGTTGTGACTTGCTGCAACTTGTATTGATCTAACATTTTTAACCGATTGAGCACTCAAATGGAGATTTAGCTCAAAATTCTAGTTCAGGCTTGAGTGCTTGGGTCTTTAGCAAAAGACACAATGAGATGGATTGATTTAAACTGTAGAACAAAGAGGTGTTAAAATTAACAGCTTGGAAGCACGAAACAATCAGGCCTAGGAAGAAGAAGAGTAACACTAAACATTTTTTCTTTAGTTGTTAGAGCCAGCTCTACACTCCCAATATTGTTTTCGAGAATAAGCTTGAAAACATTAGCTACCCTTGATAAATAGGTCTGATTACAGCATGGAAGTAAAACATACGATTGCAAATGGTAGTATTACTTGAAAAAAAGAGCTAAAACCAGTGCATCCAAAACTATGTGTCATATTTCACAGCGTTTCTCGTCCTGCTGAGACACAGCGATTTGAAAATTAATATCTGCGGGGTCAAAGGTCGCACTATTCTTAGCTGTTAGTGCTACTGGGTATATTAGAGTGATATTAAATTTCATTTGGCTGCATTCACTTACCAGGTACATTCTGATTTCTGAAAATCGGAAAGGCATTGTTTAAAAGTCTCGTTACTGTCCACATAAATAAAAGTACACATGAATATAGTATTACTAATAGACCATAATGAACGAACAGGTTTCGTGATTTAGTCCTTCCGATTTTCACATGTTCACTCGTACGGCCACGAACCCTTCGACGAGATAACAAGGAACACTCCAAGTCTAAAGCCATTTCGGTTCAAATTCACTTGAATTTTCGAAGTAATTAACAAGCTTCAATCGTTGGCTGGATGCACTGCTTATGAAGTAAAAGGGGGTTCTTTGAGCGATGTAAAACAGCCCACAGGAAGCGCGTACACGTGAAGCGTGGTAGTAGTGCTGGAGTCGGCAGTTCAGTCAGTCCCGGCGTCAGTACAACGCAGAATTTGTCAGGACTACCTGCTGCGTTTCCACTCGCTCGTCGGTGTCAGGTCTACCACATCAGTTTGAATAACTGCTCTCCGAAAAGGCCCGAAAAAGCGATTTCGCTCTAAATTCGGGAGTCTAAATGAGAAACAAGCGACACGACAAAGCAATCACGTTTATCAAACCGCCTACGTGCTCCTCTTCCACGAATGAACTCTGACCTTGATATCACGCCCTCAACCGTCGCGTCAGTATGGAAATTTCGAGTCGTTTCATTGGCGTTTGCTGTTTAAATATAGACCCTCTAACCCTCTGTTAGAGGGTCTATGGTTTAAACAGTGTTTTGTCAAAATGTGTTACTAAATCAATATAGCTTATTGAAACACGTACAATTTCTCCGAATAAATTATATTGATTATACACAATAAAACCGACATTAAAAAATTAAAACAGGCAGAGACAGACAATTACATAATGTCACAGTCCTCAGGGATAATGTCTGTACATGTGCATTGCACTTTTGCATAAGTAATTAAGTAAATAAACAACCACACATTCTAACACATTGTTTATTCGGAATCTTTTGGTAGTCACATAAAACGGGTCATTCTACTATACCATACATTAAAAAAACACTGTTGTAAAAATGAATTCTAACAGATTTATTGATATTCAACTTGCATTATATGCAAGGTACTTACTTTATTTGTCAAAAAGGGGTAGAAAATCTGTTGTTTGACCGTCATTCTCATATTTTTTACCATTTCAATATCACATTTGCCAAATAATCGTTACAGAGTACTGTGACTAGTACATTCTTAGAGACAAGTAAAACAGATAGAAAATAGATAAATTAGAGTCACGGTATATGTTCTCAGTTACAAAGTACTTCCTTCTTTTTTCTTAGTAAGATAATAATTTGTTTTCTTTGTGACAGTGACTCAACGTTTTTATTTTCCTTCTTATTCACTTCTTAGAAATGTTGTCACTGGTATTTATAAAACTATACATGTCATGTTATTCACAGATTTCTTACAAAACGCTTTTTCCAATTTGAATTTAATTTTGACAGCTTATTTTAGAGCACATTTTAGATTATGCATGGTCACATTCCTCTATACTCTTTCCTATAAATCGTATAGACGGACTGTGTACTGTATGCAACTACTAGTGGGTCCATGGTATATAACAAGTAGTTTATTTAGATGAGAGATTAAGTCTAAATATACGTCTGGTACACCCAGTCAATGTAGTTTTACACAATGGAGCATAGATGGCATATACTTCTAATGTATCATACAGTCACAGTTTTAAATAAACTCCTTGGCCCTGACTGCGTCGGTACATGGAGCTGTACTCCCTGGTCGGTATAATGGCGTTGCATGTCATCAATGGAGAACCTTCAGTCCAGTTATGCCACTATGAGCTAAGCCATGGGCTGGCAACATGGCACGTGGGTAATCTTCTACAAAATGGGTCCGATATTACAACATAAATTGTTAAAATTAACAGGACTTAAAGTGTTTCTTTAAATAATCAGAAACTTTCTTGAGATGATGTTGATAGCACAACGCCCTCATAAGTCGTATTGCTACTTTCTGCATAATTCAATATTAATTTTTAATGAGCTGCAGAAATGAAATTCGTTTTGTGTGTGTTTGTACATCACGTGATATAAACAAGGGGCACGGGCTTTTCTTGTACTAAATACTATACTCCATTCTCACTTTGTATGATCTGTAAAAACAACCTAAATAATGTCAAGATCATTATGCATTTTGATTTTGAGTACAGTTAAGAGAAATCGTACCAAACAGAACCGTGACATTGAATTTAGGAAGAACCTTCTAAAATCTTATTTATTTTCTGACCTTCCCCAACTCATATATACGTATCGGGCGATCACGTATAAAAGATACACTTGAGCAGTGGCCATAGCAGATACTTATTGCGCATTATTGCACATTGATGTGAAGCCAGTCAGACGGTTAGTCAATTCAATAAAAATAAAAATCCTGAAAATACAAAAGCTTAATTTTTCTCGATATTATCAATACTAACATTGTGGCAATTTGTGCGGTTACTAGTATATTCTTGCATCACGTCAGTTATACCCTCGTTTTTAGTCTCATGGTTTGCTCTTGTGTGTAAAGTTTACTAATAGTAATTTAGTTATCCGGATGTCAACCAAAAAATCACTATTTTAGAAGAAAAAAAATAATCACCTATATTTATAATAATCAGGCGTCTATGCTCGTTCACTAGTTGGGTGCATGGAAGAAGGGAGATCTTTGGACTGCTGTTGTAGCCAGCCGTGGTGCTAACGAGACAAATGAACTACTCCGACCGGATTCGGGTGGGTCCGATAACAGCAGCATAGTGATAGACATGTGTTTTCACTTATACGCACCCTATAATGACGTATCAGTCGGCATATCGTTATTAAAGACATCTTTCACTTTCGTTGTTGTTTTCATCATCTCCTGTTTTACCCCAAGTCACTACTCAGTGTAAACTCATACCACTAATAAATTCATAATAATAAATTCATAATAATAATAATAATAATAATAATAATAATAATAATAATAATAATAATAATAATAATAATAATAATAATAATAATAATAATAATAATAATAATAATAATAATAATAATAATAATAATAATAATAATAAATGTTTTCTACCAACATGTATATTTCACTTCGCCAGCAGAAAATGCAATAATAATCAAAATAGCACAATTTAACCCAAAATTACTATACGAAAATTTTGAAAATTACTATATAACTACGTATTACTATCTGTTATTGGAACAACTCGGGGATAATATTATCTCCCTTGCTTGGGCCAATCAGAAATGATTTTATCTTCTTTCTTGTTGGGCCACTCAAGGATAATATTATCTCCTTCGTTGTCGAGACCACTCAGGGATAATATTATCTCCCTTGCTTGGGCCAATCAGAAATGATTTTATCTTCTTTCTTGTTGGGCCACTCAAGGATAATATTATCTCCCTCGTTGTCGGGACCACTCGGGAATAATATTATCTCCTTTTTTGTTGGGTACACTCAGGGATAATATTATCTCCCTTGTTGTTGGGGCTACTCAGGAATAATATTACTAGTACCTCTCTTGCTGAGGCCAATCAGAAATGGTATTATCTCCGTTGTCGTTGGGTACACTCAGGGATAATATTATCTCCCTTGTTGTCGGGGCTACTCAGGGATAATATTACTAGTATCTCTCTTGCTGAGGCCAATCAGAAATGGTATTATCTCCATTGTTGTTGGGATCACTCAGGGATAATATTATCCTCTCTTTTCTTGTGACCGTTCAGGGATAATATTATCTTCCTTGTTGTTGGGCCACTCAGGGATAATATTATCCTCTCTTTTCTTGTGACCGTTCAGGGATAATATTATCTTCCTTGTTGCTAGGACCACTCGGGGATAATATTATCTTCCTTGTTGCTAGGACCACTCGGGGATAATATTATCTCCTTCCTTTTTGTGACAACTAAAGGATAATATTATCCCTATTGTTGGGACCACTTATTATCAATAATATTATCTCAATTATATCTCTTTTGTTGTTAGGATCACTCATCAGTCCTTCCCTTAGTGACTAATACCTGTAAAAAATGGAATAATATAATATTAATTCACTAGCTGCCGACAATACATAAAACCAGAGAGATATTATTTTTTACGGTGTTTACCAGTTCAAGATAGTAATGAGAAAATATTGTCTTACCCGCGATGACAATATACTGGTAAAATATAATATTACTCACAAAGTGAGGAGCGATCCGTGGGGTAATAGCATTTCAATTGGATATGCATTACAAGTGGGTTACGCAACAAACTGCGATAAAGAAAAACTTAAAGTACTGGTGGCTTAGAATAACAATTATATGTCTTTAATTGAATATGAAAAACCTTTTGATATCATAAACTTTGCGGTAAAATGAACACAAAATAAAAATTTCAATAATTCATGCTCTCAAAAAAAAGGATGTGAAGCTGAACTGAAATGTAGTATGTGGCACCTCTGGTTACTGATATTTCTTGAACTCAATTCAATACTTTCGCCCCTAATTTTAATTTCGAATAAAGAATATTCATCAACGATAACGTCGCCTGAGTGCAACGTGTACGAGTCTGACTATCAACACTGTCTTTCGTTCTTTCTCTCTATCCTTAATAGTCGTCAGCGTTCTTCTTGTATTTTCATCATTTTTACAATATGAACATCGTGTTGCTTTCTACAAACAATAACGTCTCAAGGGTCAGGCAAGTTTCTAGGAAATAAATATAGAAAAAATAAATAGAAATAAATATAGAAAGTACTATAGTGTATGACAAATACCTCTTAATGTACATGTACATCAAATTCACAGACCGAAAGAACTCACTTAAAATAATATTATCAATCATAAGGCAAAATGTTCAAATCAACGAAACGATTAGATTTGCTAGGCCCTTTCCACCCGGGAAGCGTCAGATAACTAAACCAACTATTGCATCATAATATTCATTACTGTCGTTTGGTGCTACCGCGTCTAACGATGAAATATAATTTAGATTTCCTGCGACTCGAACCCCCTTGACTGGTTATCTCGCACTCCCATGGTATCCTCCTGAGCTGTGACCCTCCTATTGGCTACCTTCCATGCTCATCCTAACGAATAGTTCAGTTGACTTATGTTATGAGGCAAACTGTTGTTTGCGAAGCGAGTGCGCGAAGTCTTTACTATTACGTAACACTGGTGCAATCTTCACTTTTCCTCTTGGTTTTCACCTTTTTTTCGGCATTCTAACTTATGTCGTAACGATTTTTTTATTCTAGGTAAAACTAGGCGTTTTCCCACTCCGGTTTAATGGAATGTCATGCGGAATGTATACACATTGAATATACCATGGATGTACTAACAACTTCTTAGTACATCCATGAATATACATAGATATATAGCTATTTTATAAACAGAAAATAGGGTATAATCATGGAGCTAAGCTCCATGGTATAATGAAGGAAAAACATACAAAATCAATCTTCAAGAAAGCAGACAAATTATAGACTAAACCAAAGTTCAGAAATTAAATAAATAAATGTTCCCAGTGCCGAGCAACCACTCACATTTTTCAACAGAAAACCACAGTTGAGGGACTGTGATAAAACAATGGCT